GCGCGCTGCGCACTCTTTGCAGACACGATAGCTGTCGTGGCGCCACTTGGCAAACCAAGCTAAAATGGCTACCGGGAGGTGTTTCCGGGGTCGGCGGCAGGGGCGGCAGCCCTTAAATATAGAGTGTTCCCTAGTTCTCCCAATTGTCCGATTTGTTTCGAGGAGACTGCAAGATTTCCAGTGCCTTGGCAGTGTTTGGAGAAAAAAAAACTGCATTACAAATATTCAAAAAACTGTGATAAGTAGATAAACATAGATAAACAATAATGATGATACTGTAATAGGACCCAAATAGGAAACAATAGGACCAAAGACATCCAAAGACAGTAAAATGGTGTAAAATGGGTGTTGTTGGTCCTACAGTCTTCCTAATGTCTTTTTATTGGTTGTCCTACATTGTTGTCCTAATTTAATTGTTATATATTTTGATCGCACCCAGTGGAAGCTTAACTCCATCAACATCAATTCAGCATTTCGTCCCCTTCCCTCAGATGGAGAGTCTTCGGCATTCCTTGAGATACCCCTCTACCACCACGATAACCTGGTGCGAATCGGCGCTGGTGGGCCAAACGGACTGAGCCACGGATCGCCTGTGTCCTCAAGGGCAAAGAGCACAAGCGTGGCAGCTGAACTTCCAAAGCTTTCATGAGCGGCAAGCCCTGCGGTGAGCCCGGTGCTGATAGTGAAGATAGTGAAGCTGAGTGAAGCTCCTCACTTTTGCTTTTGGAATATTTGGGGATACTGATGTTCGCTGCTGACAGTCACAAACCGAGATGTCAAAGCCGGATACGAAAGCATATGATGCACAGAAAACGCAGTTGCGTGCCAGTTCCCACCCGCTCCGCTGGCTCCGCCTTCTGCACCAGTGGAAGCACCTCACTAGGATCAAATCGACCCAAGAATGGCCATCGCTTCCAACTAAGTATGAATCGTTCTAGAGCATGGAGGTGTTCGATGAACGGCTCTGATATGCTCTGATCAGGGAGTTAAAACAGGAACATCAGATTCCGAGCCCGGCAGCTTTGATCCACCAGAGGTTGGCATGACAAAAAGTCACATCAGGTTATACATATTCAAAACTCGACTTGGAATTTCAGGGTAGGCTTGAACGCATCTTTGAACACCACGTCGGCCAAGGGCAGTTCAAACCATTCTCAGCCCTTTGGCCAGGACCTGCGTAGTACAAAAAATATAACTACTAGAAGAACCTGGATAGTCGTTCTTGGACAAGACAAACCACCGTCTCGCCTCCCATTGCTTGAATCGAGCATATTCACCGAAGAGGACGAATCTCGTCCTGGCCACGAGTCCGTCTGAGAAGAAGTATAAGATATAATGGCCTGCCCTGTATCAACGCACTAACGGGTGAAAGAATCCTTCGGCGGAACCACCATCGGTCTCGACGACATCGAACAGTCCCGTTGAGTCGGGGCTGATAGACGCCCATCATGGAGCAGGGTGGCAAGAAGCAAGGTGTCTCCTGGCAGCGGCATAGTGGCGATGCAAAGGGAACACTATACCTGTTGTTTCGCATCACTGGTTCAACCAGGTGGCTATGTTTCACATCCCACTATACGAGTATCTTCTGTTTCAGGTGGTCTATCAATGCACATCCACTTCGATGAGTATGATGTATCTTCTCCTTTGGAGATCTGTGATGAGTCGCGAGGCTCGGTGGTGATGATTTTGTTGACCTGTAGTGACGTGGTGGTTTCTGTGCATCCATCTCGCATCATGATTCTAATAATCATGCATGGTGATCTGATCTTTCAGGTTGAGGGCCCCCGCCGACCACCTGTTGAATTTAAAACTGTCGTTTTTCCTTCTTGGCTCTTCCAATCCGAACCCACCGCCCCTATCGTAAACTGCAACTTCAGCTGAGCTCCCTTTGAGTTCGCCTTCAAATCTTCACATCTTCACGCATGCTCACGGCCCTAGAGCCCTAGACTACTAACAATTGTTGGGCAAGCGCAGGTTTGGATGCAGGCTGGAAGGCTAAAATACAAAAGAATATGCGAACATTTTGCCCAACCACTGTCCTTGTCAAAGAGTGGCGCTGTCAACGCATAGCAACCGTCAAAGTCTCCGGTTCCAACCAGCCTCGGGTGGCCGCTTCTGCGGCCTGAACTGGGAGACTCCGGGTCACGGGGGGTACTTGGAGCATTGGGGGCAAACCTGGGAAATCTCATCCAAGAGTAAGGCAGAACTCTGAAAATGACTGAATGTCTAAGAGGCCAAAAGAAATTTGAAGATCATCACTGCCAATGTTACAGTATCAACCTGTATCAACACTGCAACTGTTCAAGAACAAAAACACATATGCAAAAAAAACTGTGTCTGCGAAGCCCTCGCAGCTCTTCAACCTCTCGGATCAGTCAACATGGAGTTGATCTCAGTCGAGCTTCTTCAGTGGGCCCTTTTCTCGCTCTGGGTCCGTCTTGTTGATGCTCACCTAACCAAAAACTGACACTGGAATCACAGGTTTCCACAGGTATCCCCACCCCTTTATCTTTGTGTCCGCTGTGTCCGCCGTCCGCAAACCTCATGTCTGTGTGGTCATGTCTCACGATGCGCACTCTTCGAAACTCAGCAGCCACTGTCTTCTTTTTCGTGGAGTCTCAGAACCCCTGACGTCTGCCGAGACACCCCGAACTCATCGTGATTGACCTGAGAAATGTGCGACTGGCGAAGCCTATGCGACACATGGAAAAACAAGGTCGAGTGTTACTCAAAAGTAACTCTTCAACACAGAAAGGGGTTGGGCTAGTGTTTCTTGGACTGGCGTTCGTGCCAACATGTCCATCTTCATGGTCATATTATCCCCCATAAGCCAAGAAACCCAGAAAACCGCCTACTAAAATACAATGGCAGCATCGGCAGGGTGGGTAGCTGGCTAGCTGGCTGGTGGGTGGGGCAGCACATCTGCAACATACTGCGAAACTCTTCTGGAACTCTGGCACTTGCTGCGGAATCTGCACCGGAACCTGCTCCGGAACATCTGCTCTGAAGCCTTTATTATGGCTGAAAGTCTGAACTTCGCTGTTGGGGAATAAACATGGAACCCCGCCACTTGCCCAAAGCACCATCTGAGCGCTCCCCCAACTAGGAATGTGTGTGTGGGGGACCATCCCACATGTCATCAATGAAACTACTTCTCGGATGACCCCTCCACTTGATCAGGCATCGATTCGTGCCAATGAATCATCACATCCACTGAGCATCGGGCATTCCACGTCAAGCCAGTAGGCATGCAAGGATGCTTCACTTCCTTCATTCACCAGGCTCTGTGAAAACCAGTTAACATGTCCACTGTCCTTCCATATGCAACTTATGTAAACAGCGGAGATATATAGTAAATATATACTACCTAGATTACACATGTGTGTGTGCAGAAGTTGGGGGAATGATCGTCACAGCATCACAGCTGCCGCCCGTGCACGTTGCTGTTCTTGAGCCCATCAGATATTTTGGTAACGCAAGAACAGGCGAGAGACGGTTGGAGGCTGGGTGTGGGTGCTGGTGCCGCTGCAGGATGCCGTTGCCGCTGCAGGGTGCTGCCTAAGGAGTGTTAACGTGTTGGGGCACTATCACATCGCTCCAAAGCTTTAGCTAAAGGGGTGCCCTTTTGGGAGCGGAATTGCGTTTCCGGAGTGGAGATGGTGGTGGGAGAAAGGATGCAAAAGCAAAGGGGATATGCAATGTTTTGCCGGAGGTGTTGTGCTATATTAATCTGGGAATGCAGGTTTAGGACATGAAGTGGCACGCTTCCAGTGAGAAACTACCCAACCTATTGCAGGGGGTCGTGTGTTTGCCGTTCATGGATCTGCTGATACAAGTACAGAATGAATGGGGTGATCATAGTAAGAGACAGAAATTAGGAAATAATTGGACCTAGATGATACCTACGAACCTTTGCAATATGCATGATCGACGTAAGCCATAGAGATGAACGGTGTCATGCAGTGGATATAGTATATTTATATGTGTATAATATATACAGCAGGAAATTAGCAATCAATTTGCAGACATTCTTGGATATAAGTTGGAGCCTCTTAAAAATCTACAATGTCAAGGGGATCAACAAATAGATTGATTACAATACATTCTAGACGATACAACATGATATATTTGAGTTCAATTCAATCGAATATACCACAGTGCCATACAATGCAGTGGACGAATCACAATGCCACACAATATAGTGGATGAAAAATAACTTCAATGTGCCATGGTTTGTAAAGTAACTACAATATGTAGTATGCAATACAATATGATAGAGTAGAGCAGCTCCACCTCTACCTATGTCTCCGCAATTGATCGATAAGCGATCCTGAGTCTATGATGTCTCATTTCCAGCTTCGTTTCATCGCAATGCCATGTGTTTAACGTGTTGTTGTTGTTGTTGTTGTTGTTGTTTAACGCTTGTCATGGCTTCATTCCAGTGATCCCACGTATTTCCCTAAGTGGCCGCTGGCCTCTTCTGTCTTCCGCTTTCGGTGGGACCTCAGGCTCCAAGGTGTGCAGAGCAATTCACCCCATGTTGATAGGGGTAGTGAAAATGAGAAGAGCTACAAACAACAAACCAATCCAGAAGTCAGAAATCCAAGGCAGTCCCCAACATCCACGCAGCTTTTCTCCTTTCGTCACTCAGACTGGCTTTGCCAAGCACCTGATAAAGCACATAAACACTCGGGAAAAAGGAGACGTTTATTTAAAAGGTGCAAACGACTACATTTACGCGCAAAGTAGCGCAATGGAAATCCTGGGACCACACTTGTCCTCCATGGGCGGCACTCCGTGAGTGTGATTGTTATTCCAGGGCGCGTTGAAGTGCATGGCGCTGCCACTGTGCATCCACTTGTAAGTCTTCATGCCCGTGCACTCTTCGCCGCAGGTTTCGTAGTTGGAGCGTGAGTCAGTGATCGTCTCACAAAGCACTTGTCGACTGGAGCCCAGGGAATAACAAACGGTCCCGGTGCATTTCATGAAGCTACAAGTGCAGTTGATTCCACCTTTCTGCCCCGCGCCATAGATGTCGCGGTGTTGCTTGTGTGAGGACTTTTGGTTCGGATGAAAATTCAGCTGAATGGCTGTCACGCGGTAGCCATACTCCTGCTCGGTGTGAGCAACTAAGGCCCGAATGCCCTTTCCAGCGTCGGTCTCCTGGCTCTCTCGTTCCAAGACTCCAACAATGGCCGTCGCCGACTGGTTTCGCTCTTCGTTGGTGAGCAAGAACTTTCCACCTCAACACGAAAGCGACCAAACGAAGCTTAGCTACTGAAAGACAGAACGGTGATCCCATGTTCTTTGGGGAAATGAAGGGTGCTCCTTCAAATCAGCAATGTATAATTGCAGTTCTAATTTTAATTACAATAGTTTCATGATGGTTTTGTCCACTCCTCACCTGACTTCCACACACAGCCTTCTGGAGCATTCAGTGCTGCTCTGACCAAGGCTTTGAATAGCCATTCATCTGCAGAGATGTGGTTGGGTGCGATCCCATCCAGTGCATCACTGACCGCGCCGCCAATGACATCACACAACTCGCCAGGAGATGCGAAGCCTTTGTTGCAGGGGCAGTCCTCGCAGTTTTCGCAGGACTGCACCACTTCATGAGAACCGTCAGGAGATGTGGCTTTGCTCCATCGCATCAAATGGCCCAATTCTTTGTGCGTCATGAACGAGCCCTCTTTGGGCTGGATGGACTTCAAGACACGGCTGGCTTCATCGATCAGGGCCGCCTCCACTTTCCGCGACTTCGACCGGGAGATTTGGGCCAGCAAGCTCCCATAGCGCCCCCGTTCCATGGCATTCTTGAGTGCCTGCTGCTGTGCCAACATGGTGAGCTCCTTCTTTTTGGCTTGCCGGATTTTCACCAAAATCGCCGCCTCGTGTCCATCACTGATGGACACATCCACCACAGTGCCTTCTCCCTGCGCACGAAGGCCGTTGCCCACTTTGAGGTCTTCAGCGCCCATCTGCACGGTGCGCGAGCGCATCTCGGTCGCCACGAAGTTCCGTGGACCCGCCACTGAAGAGAAGGACGTGGAGCTGCGAGGGGCCTTTCTGAGTGAGCAGGTGCGACTCGCATGACGCTTGTTTGATGTTTGTTTACCGAAGGGACAAGCGAAAAGAGACTGGAAGTACAGACCTTAATTATGTATGGGATGTTCAACAATGTCCAGCCTGACACCAGAACCTCCAAAAAAATCACCCCAAATCCCCCCATGTCCCACCTCCACTTGCACCCCAAAGGGTACCGGTGGCACGCCCTTCACGCAGACTTGCCCCACAATGGCGCCCGAGGATCGACAGTGTCTCACCGTCTGGCCCAGTGGCAAGGGCACCGGGAAGCCTCGACGTGGGCGGCCGGGAACCGCTCCGGGTCTCGAGTCGCCGGAAGGGCCGGAACCACACGGGTCCCAGACGGTTCGCTCATGCGCAGCTCATGCGCAGCTCATCGTTTTACATCTTTATACTTTTCTCATCCGCAGTACCCTTGTGAGTAGAAGTTGTAGAAGTTTGATGTGCAACTACCCCCTCTTTGGGCAATAGCAAAGAAGTCTTCCGCGAACCCCCCAAATTACCATCCACGAAGCTCTGCAAAGGGCAATCCACCTACTTCTGCTGAATGAAAACCCGTTCGTTTTGCACTGAATTCATTTCAACATCTCCATATGGGGTGTTTATGAATCAAGAGTCTACATTACTGTCCGATGATGTCCGATGCAACCACCTTTGGTATTTGACAACTTCAACTTAGAACATGCCTTGTGGCTACTGTTCCCAACACGGCTGAGCAAATTTAGGTGCTCGATTGAAACATATAGAAACCCTAGTCTGATCACTGGCATCGCGGCGCATCTTCTTTTTTTGGGGGTGGGATGATTTTACTATTCCGATATTCAAGTACAATTCTTTGGACTCTGACTTTCAGAATTATCTTCCGACTTCGCACCTTCCAAGACTTCGCCCTCGGTGAGCTCTACGGAGACTTCCATCTCTGGGACCTCGCTGGTCACGGTGAGGGCGGCACGGCAGCGGGTCGCCCCTGCTGGACGCACCGGAGGCAGCTTCACCGTGGAGGACGTGGCAAGAGCCGAGGACGCAGAAGTGGGCCTCGTGGGTGGGAGGATGGGCCGATGGGACTGCGCAGCGTTCGGTTTGAACACCCCAAACGTGGAGATGATGTTGGACCATCCTGGGTCTCAATCCGAGAGATGGAGGGGCAGGCTTTCTTTTATTGATGGTCACCTTGCATGGACGATTGGTTTTCTTTTCTATCATTCCACAAGCTTCCATGCTGCATTCAATACTCAGTTCGACCTCGCGTTTCGAATCGTTTCGACCTACCAGCGGGAAACCATCCTTGATCAAACCTGTTGGGCTGGGAGGTAGCTCCGTCTTCCGCCCCACCTCACAGTGCTCAGCTCGAGTGGAGCTTCAGAAGGCGTGGGGAGGCCACGCAAGCAAAGGCTGTCCATGTGATCACAAGCCATCGTTTCAGGTCTGAAAGCCGCCGAAAAGTCCGGATGCTCAAAGCCCAAAGGAGGACTGCAGAGTCGGCTGGGAACATCGAACCTTCCACATGCGGAGAATAACAGATCAAGACTTCGCACCTTCGTGCTTGGAACCAAGTTTGCAAGACAATCAGGCGTTCAAGGCACTGACTATTGACTCTAGACATGTGATTCATGTGCAGGACATCGGGACAAAATCACTCCCAAGCACTTCGCATGAATCCTCTGCCTTGGAACATCTTGAAACTGGTTCAAATCCCTTCCTCCCAAAGAATGACTATGAATGACCAAATTCATCCAACTCCCGGAACCAACTGCTAGGGGCATTAAACAAAGAAGCTAGTTACTAGGGGCTCCTGGCCCTACTACTAGGAGCAAGGACGCTACGAACGGGGCTCCTGGCATCGCTACTAGGAGCATTCTTACTTGGTGTTTCTTTTCTCGTTTTGGTTTTTGGGCAGGTCGACCTACACCAATCCCTACCTGCGTCCTTGCTGAGTGCCGCACTCCAGGAGGACCCGCGTCGCTCGCTGGAAGGCCACCACGCTGCCGTAGCCCGTGAAGCTGCGGAGGCGGCTTTCTCCAACACAAAAAGACCAGAGAAGGTTGGTCATGGTTGGTCATGGTTGGGTTTGGGGGGATGTGTTTGATCGGGGCTCAGGGATGCCTTTTTGCGGTGCATTGGCACTCCGCTCGTTCATCTCAGAAGCGAAAATTGCAGCGCCTCGGGCCATTCCTTTCAACAAAGTGAAATCTGACCTTCGGGGTGTGGACCGAATTCACCCTGAAATGGAATGGGTTCGATTTTCTATTGGCCCCTGTTGGCCTGTATTAATGGAAGATATAGATGGACGTCCCCAGGTGATGCCCATCGGAAGATGTTGCGTATGAATGCGTTTGATTGTTGCATGGAGTGTCTATCTATCACTCCTCCTACCTCACCATAACCTCACTTACCACTCAGTTGGAGTCCAACACCACAAGGATCTGTCTGTTGCACTCTACCCACAAAGCCGGGGTGCCTGGGTGCGCTCTTTTTTCAGATTCTGGTCAGAATGAGCTTGATGGTTTGAGAGATTCCTAGAGTCCAACGGTACAAAAAGGAGCCACGCTGCGCCTCCTTATTGCATGTCCTGGTGGCACTAGATGGCACTAGACGGTGATTTTGTTTTAGTCCCCCCTCCCTACTTAATTAAGTAGGTGCTATTATACCTATTACACTGGCCAGACAAAAGTTGCGCTTCTTGAGACACAAACTCATGTCAACCCTTACCCCCTAGAATCCTACATTGAGATACCTGGGGCCGTGTGGGCGGTCATTGTTCACACCGGAAAGCCATTTATAAATCCGCCGACCCCAAAACGTGGGGTGAGGCGTGACTGTCGATGTTAGCCTTAGCCTTAAGCCTTAGCCTTAGTCCTTAGCCTTAGACCTGGCGCAGATTGTCCAGGAAAGCTACCTGATTTTGACGGGAGTTGTCCAAGATTCTGCCATCCCAATTGACTTACATCTTGGGGCACCCTCTCGACCCGCGCGGGAAAATAAGCACGGTCCAAAATGGTCCTGGGTTCGAATCCCGGGCTGGTCGCGGCATGGTCCCGGCCAATGCCTTGCTTTTTCGTAGATTTTGTCACGTTTTCTGTTGGTTTATGAGATTTTCAAAGGCTTTTCTGGCATTTTCCTAGGAATGCTCTAGGCTTTGTCTTTTTGGGTACCTGCTTTGGTGGTGCTGGGTTGGGTCTAAATTGGTAAACCTGGGAGGTACCCAAAAAGTCGACTTTTTGGGTACCTGCTTTGGTGGTGAAGGGTTGGGTCTAAATTCTTGGGCAATGATCGGGGTTCATGCAAGAGCTGACGTCCGATGGTAAATCTGGGAGGTACCCAAAAAGTCGACTTTTTGGGTACCTGCTTTGGTGGTGCTGGGTTGGGTCTGCACTCTTGGGGGGGGGCAAGGCTAAGGCCAAGGCTTAAGGCTAAGGCTAACATAGAGCAAGGCTAGCGCTAAGGTTCTATCCCTTGGGGGTCGGCGGCTGCAGGCGGTAGCCTGGTAAATATAGATTCAAAACGGTGTGATAATTGACCGTCCCACACCTGCCACGCAAATTGGACTTGGTAATTCGATCCACAGCTGACCATACAGCGTTTTTTGAACATGGTTAACCAGCATAAACGTTTGTCCGCCTGAAGTATATTTATATAAGTAAGGGAGAAGCTCCTACATATGGACGCAGCTCAAGCTTTTACAGCGTAGGGAAAATCTATTGGTCGTCTGGTCGCCATGCCCGATGCAAAAACACTCGGGCATGGATGTGTTTCGGAAAGTCTGCGTGGCGAGCTTTTCAGCCCAGAAAAAATCCTATGCTGCCTGAAGGCGTATCATGCACAAATCCCGCCTGTGAGAGTACAAGTGAATGGGGCCCTTCACACTTCCGCCGAAATGCATCGGGAAAAGCCCTGCAAGGATAGACGTCTCCTGAGGCACCTCGGGCATCACTCACAATATCTACACGTTGTACTTTAAAACCATCGCCCGTAGTGTAGCCCGTAGGTGAAAGAACCAGAACATGGAAGTTCACGTAAGTGTTGCTGGCGTTCATCATGCCGAAGTGCCATTAAACGATGAACAGCATTCCTCCCTGATTCCTGAGTCGTTGTCATCTTGTATACCAAGCTATCTAATCATCTGCAGTACTACATCGCCGTGTATTCTCTACTACCCTGACTCTTTCCTTTCCCACATCCTGAGGAGACCACGAAGGCGATTTGCATGGAGGCACCGCCGAAGTCCAAGGCACCCAAAGTGGTATCTGAATCGGGACTGATCTCCGCCTGAGGCGGCACTTAGGTCGGTGCGAACGACTCGGCGAGCGACTCGGCCTTCACGGTGCCCAAGCGGGTCGGTCAGTGTTTTCTGCCCGCTCGCCGCTCGCCGCTCGCCACGGTGGATAAGGAATATCAATAAAAAGAAAGAGAGCAAGCTCCTAGCTACTTAAGCTTCTAGTAACTGGATGCAGGATAACTCACGTTCACACGATTCATTTGATTTGGTTCCAACATTTGGAATCCTCGGTGCAAGGACCGGTCTTGGCAGGACCTTTCTCAGTGGACCGTTGCTTTTGGCTCCCGTCTTGACAAACAGAACCACTGTATGTCTGAAAGGAGGGGGGGCGCATGGCATGCCATCGCCCCTCAGTGAAACGTGCATCCATTCTGTGTCCATAGCAAAACTACCAACAGACAGCCACCAGCAACATCTCCATGAGTCTATGATGGTCCATGACCGTTGCAGCCACAGACGTGGCAGACAGACGTCCTCGCACCACGGGCCGACCAGTACGCGCCAGTAACGACGGCACCTGTAACTGATTGAGTGCGAGCCAGCCGAAGGCGCCCTCCTCTTCACCAGAGAGGACGCGCACCTTCCAAAGACGAAGCGCGGATGTGTCCGTGGATGTCTGTGGTACCTACGTCATGTATGGTTTTCCCACACGGTTTTGTAAAGTGACCTCCCCAGTGTCCAAACACTCAACCCTCAAGAGCATGAATGTTTATGAATGTTCACCACCCTTCAGAGTCCATTTGCATTGAACATCCACCCATCAGCGCCCTTGAAGACATGTCTAATCACCTCCCACATTCCTCACACACCTCCAGTTATATAGAGCATGGCAAACCACCGCGTCCGAGAGCATAGCAAACACCCGCGTCCGATCCTGCTCATCACGTGTCACCGCAAAGACCTCTTGCTTCCGGAGGTACTCGCGAGCTGCCTTCATCACCTGGTGGCGGCCACATGGGCTTCTGTGGATGTGCCCAAAGGTGGAAGCCACGAGCAGATCATCGATGTGTCAAATGTTGTTCGTTGCGGATGTTCTGGAGGTGACAAGTTCTTTGAGTCAATGCACCAGTTGGATGTAGCTCAAAAAGTCTCAAAAATGTCTTCACCCCCCAAAAAAGATCCAAAGATCCACAGGTGATCCATGTAGCAGGTGGCTTTGGGGACGTAGCATGTGGCTGAGCTCGTGAGTTCGTCTCATTGGATTCAGCTGGTGACCTCCTCACGCCTTTCCGCCCCGAACCATCGCACCTCGTCCCGGTCGCGGTTGTGCAGCTCGCGGAGCCCTGCAGTGGCACCCAGATACAGCGGCACCTGGCCAGGCTGGTCTGGGCAGGTCTGGGCAGGCGGGCGCACGGTTTGGGAAGGTATGATGTTGTTTGGGGAATCTTTTTATGGTTGTTCACTTGGGGGTATCCCTCTATTCATCAACCAACCGATCAAGTACTCTCGGCCATCTCTGCACTGTCACCCCACTTATTTAACTCGATGAAGCACGGCTCAGTCGGTGGAAAATGGATGAACGCATCAATATGTATCTGTTATATATGTATCTTATATATATAATATGGACAATGTTGGATATGAATCGATTATGATTGAAGAATCTGACTGGCTAGCTATGGCCAACCAAAATGGGGAGGGGCCCTTGCTCTTTGACAGGCTGGTGCTTAGTAGGGAATGAGGGAATGATCCTCAGAAGAGATTCCTGCATCAAACGGTTGGTGAGGGTCCTTGCTCTGAGCAATCAATCGTCTCTCTTTACAAGGAACAGAGCCTGCTTCAACTGCACGTCTGGATTGTGCAGCAGCAAGGCCTTTGAAGGGATAGACTCTGCAACCACAAGAAGGCAATTGGCTTCAGCCGGATTCACATACAGTCAGATGTGCAAAGCCGAATCCAAAACGCTATGTGAAAGGCATCCCCGTGGTCAACTCCTGCATTGTTTGGTTTGCCATCTATATTTAATGCATCATAATGGAGCCCAGTTTCATCCGCAGCATGCCGGATCAGCTCATCTAATTTCCTGCAGGAAAAGGTCTCTTGTGCTTGATTCATATCTCGCATGGTCCAAGTTCTAGTGATTGAGGAATGTGCGATCATGAGAACCAGGGAAACATGAGATTCTGTGGAATGAACGGAAGTGACTAGACTACTGAAGAACCGTGCGCACTGTGCGCACCAAACGGGCTCTCCAACCTCTCACTCCTCTCCTTGGAATTCCTTCGGTCTGATGCACGAAGGACGAGAGTCCAGGCTTGTTGGTCGCTGCGGCGATTTCTGGCGCAGCCACAAATCGCATGGGTCTGGGTATAGTCATATTTGCGATTGCCTCTGACTTATATATACATATACATATATATATATGTGTAGATATAATATATATATATATACTATTATACACGTGCTTTCATATGTGTGTATATATATATATCATGTATACATGATGTGGCCATTTAAAAATATTTCTGGAGTTTTCGGCAACAATGAGGCAAAGAGACTCTTCATTCACTTCCAGACATTGCTGAAGCTACGCTTTTAGGTGCATTTCAGGTTTCCTCACCGGAACCCAGAGCTGTCCTGTAGGCAGTGTCAGAGGGGGACTCACAATGAGCGGAAAGCGCCGAGGTTCGAGCTTGCGGTATTCATAATTGAAGACCTGGGCCGACGAAGGTAAACGGAGAACAAACTGCATGCTTTGAAGACTGCAGCTAACAATCAACTGTTGCCATCTGCTAAAAAAGGAACCTCTAGAGTCTACACCCCCACCAGCTGCCCTCCTGCCACCGGGTGGCATGGACTCGAGTCCCTGTACTTCCAGCATCAAGCACAACGACATAGCCAGACCTGAGCGGTCAAAGGATGCAGACTCTTGATGAATAAACCCCCATATGAAGAGGATTCCACTTCAAATGCGGGGGTTATTAATCCAGAGTCTACATTAGCCTGGAAGTGACTCGTGACATGTGAGTTTCTCTTCAATCACCCCTTTCCCCCGAAAACCTAGATGGAAATAAATGAAATGTGATAATTAAGCTGATGAAGAAGTCCCCTGCCTGCTGCTGAACAAACCTGGGAAAACCGGGCGTGTCGGCACAGAGTTGAGGATACTTCTTGCAGTTTGGCTCCTGCAGTTGAGCATCACATGCCGCATCTCACCCGACAAGCACATCACGTTCTCACTTGTGACATCATCCGACTGGAGAAGATCGATGTCCTTAAAAAGAAGGCTACAGAAAACTGCAAACGGATCAACTTGGAACCCATGGGCGACTCTCCAACCGACTCTCCAACCAGTCGATCCCGTCCGGCGCAGTGGAACCCTTCTTCGGGGCGGGACTCGTCCTGAAACTTCCCCAGCACTGTGAAGGCCAAAAAGACACATCCTGCACTCGGAACGCAGAAGGAAGGGCACATAAGGGCACCCTGGTGACTTTAGAACCACTAGTCCAGTAAACACGGCTCAATATATCTTAATATGTCAAACAACATGATATGCAACATGACAACATGACAACATGTATGGAATGTATCGGTATCAAAGCAGCTTTTGAAGGCGGTCCTTTGACTGATGTCTTTGTAAGAGTGTCTCTAGTCAATAAATTCAAAACACTAAGCAAAACGTCGGTGGCATGCTAAATCCCCTGTGGAATTACCGGTGACTGTCGGGAATCTGATTCTAGTGATAAATCGAAAAACCAACCTCAAAGGGCAGAATGCCCCACTATAGTATAGAACCAAATCTCAACCTACTGCAGTGCTGAGAAACTGTTCCCTATAAAATGGTTCAGCTCGACCTTTTGAGCAAAGCTGTTGTTTTCCTCAGACAACGATGCTGCCAAAACTTGGGAAGTTCATGGAACATCACTGATGCAAATCCAAGGTTGAAATTGTTTCTATAGAGAAGTGGGGGCAATATGACGGTTGAAATTGACTTTAGAAAATGATTGGACAAAAGTGGCACAAGAGGTTGATTGTGATTTTATAGAGACATGTTTGAAGACTGCAGGGTTGACATTGATTTTGGAAAATGATTGGACAAAAGTGGCACAAAAGGTTGCTTGTGATTTTATAGAGACATGTTTGGACACTGCAGGGTTGAAATTGATTTTAAGACATGATTGGACAAAAGTGGCACAAAAGGTTGATTGTGATTTATAGAGACATGCTTGGACACTGCAGGGTTGAAATTGATTTTAGAAGAAAGTTAAGCAGAAAGAAAAAGACCGTCAATTAAATTGATGTTATGGAGGGATGATTGGACAGTTGAAATCTGGAATCCCAACACTCACCGGAAATTTAACAGAGGATGATCGAATGATTCAGAATACAAACACATCCACTCAACACACCATCCACTATCCACTCTGAAATCAATTCTCTGTCTTCTACTACTCCAAATTCAAATGCTTTCTAGAAAATCAAAGCTACAACCTCTATAAAATCTGGTGCATGTTCATGCCTAATAAAATGGAATAGCTCAACCTATTGGGCATAATGAAAAATCGACCACTTTGACCCATGCTTTAAAGCTAGCTTTTTTCAAGTAGGTTGATATCTCATTCCAGAGAAAAAGTGTCTATAAAATCTGAGGGTCATTTTGAGCTCGACCTCCCAGATTCTATGCAGTTTATTCGGCAGGTGATGTTTCGGATGTGTTTGCCATGATATGCCATGCAACAAATGTTTGCGCAGATGTGTTTGCGCAGAGCAAGTCTCAAAAAAAGTCTTACTGCCCAAAAAGTCTTACTGCTCGAACAAATCAATAAAGGCTGTGTCTGTCCTCTCAGGGAAAGGCCACGCATGCTTGCAGTCCGACCAACATTTGATGGTGCGCAGTCGTATAAAGTCTTGATGGTGGTGGTGTAAACTTGGGTGTGAGCTTGTTGATGCAAACTGTTTGAGTTGGAAGAGTTTGCCTCTAGTTTCAATTCTTTCAACTTGCTGGGTTCCATGTTGGGCTGCATTCATCTGCATTCATTTGTTCTCATGGAATTGTCTATAGAGCCAGGTATGGCTAGAAAGTCATAGAAAGACCGGGTGATGTAGAAACTGTGCAGAAAGCACGAACGCACCAGATGTGAGGATGGCAACCCAAATCCTCGAGCCCACTGAGTCAAAAAAGAAACACCAACTAAATGCCTCTCGGTTCGCCACTTGAGATCACTTGACCCCAAATAACACGAACCACGTGATTCAACAATGCCTCTCGTCCGCGACCACACTCTGCGGACACGGCACCGCTGCATCCAGGCACCGCGGATCACCCTTTTTCTCCGGATCCACGGCACCCGCTGCGCCCAGCGCTGGAAAAAGCCGGGCTCTGGAGGCCTGGACATTTGTAGCGTCCTTGCTACGTTCGTAGCGAACCTTGTTAGTAGTGAGAAT